TCCAACTGGTTATCACCCGATTTGACGTCTTTAGGCAAACCATCGCCAGCCGTGACACTAGTGGACGGACTGCCCGAAGACCACAACCCGATGACACAATTGTCGCCCATATCTGCCATGTCTTCGTTGATAGGAAGCGATGAGATCAGAGAAAGACAACAAAATTTGATGAAAATGATCGATAAGTGTTCATATGTTGGCCGCAAATCAAACCTCGTCTTAATAAGCGGTTCCAGTCGTCAACATATGGCCGACACTCGGATCCCTTCCTCTCAATTCAAACAGAACTCAGAATTCATTTATTTGACGGGTTTTACGAGCACTCAGTCATCCGATTGTGTTCTCGCACTCATCGGTGGTAATGGAGAACCTCTTCAGTCCATACTTTTTGCTCCGTTTGAAGACTCTGTCCATCAGTTATGGGACGGAAACGATATGAGAGAGCATTCCGTTTGGATTAACAGTATTTGCGATGAATTAAGAGATTTGTCGAAATTGAATGAATTGATTGTCTCAGAGATACCACACAAACAGCTGTTTGTCTCCAGATCTGGTTTAAACCAATCCAATGGCAATAATAGTGAAAATTGTGATAAATTGAGTCCTCGTTTAACTACTCATTTGAATCTCAACACAAACACATCCATACATAGAGTGTCGCCATTTTTGGATCAGTTAAGAGCCGTTAAATCAAAGGCTGAATGCAATGCAATGCGAAGAGTGTGTGATATCGGCTCTCAAGCGATACTAAACTCAATGGTTTGGACCAAACAGTTGTCAGAACACAGTCTCGTCAATGAATCCCAAATTGCGGCCAAATTTGAGTTCGAGTCTCGAGTAAACGGCGCCCGAAAGATATCCTTTCCCACGGTTTGCGGTTCCGGCCAGAGGTCGACAATCATTCATTACGGCGCTAACGACCAGTTCTGTGCCACCGATGACTGGGTCTTAATGGACGCGGGATGTGAGGACGTGGACGGCTATAACAGTGACATCACCAGAACGTGGCCTATAAATGGCAACTTCGGCACCAATAGACTCCGCAACGATCTATACGAAGCTCTATGTGAAGTTCAGTCCGACCTCATCGCTGCCGTGTCCTCCGATTCAATGATGACACTCGACCTCCTCTTTAAACTCATGTGTGATTTATTGGGCAAAGTTTTGCTGGAATTTAACGTTTTGAATACAACGGTCTCCGCACAAGAAGCCGCTTCTCTGGCCCATCGTTTCTGTCCGCATCACGTCTCACACTATTTGGGTTAATATTGACGTTAATCCTAATCTATTATAGGCTTTGCTAACAGTTATATATATTTGTCACTCTAATAGGACTTGATATCCACGACTGCCCATCGGTTTCCCGAAATACTATACTAAAAGCTGGCCATTGCTTTACTGTAGAGCCGGGCCTTTATTTCCATAGAAATCAAACGCTAATAAAACCCGAATTTAAAGGCATAGGAATGCGTGTTGAGGACGACCTACTGATCAACAGCGAGGGACAGATCGAGGTGTTGAGTAAGGGTTGTCCTCACAAACCGAATCTCATTTAATTTATTGATTGATTGTTTAAAAATGAAGTATTAGTTAAAAGTATTTGGTTTTTAATTTAAATTCTAATTGATTTTAATTGTATATGAAATATAGATTTAATTAAATTGTTACTTTGTTTGGTTTGATAAGAGTTTTGTTTGCATTATATAATAAGACATTATAACTGATAAAACGCTAACAATCGTTGATTACAGTTATAGTGGATTTAATACTACTATAGTTACCTTCACACACATTTGTGATCAGATATTTGTTACACATTTAATGCCTTAATATTAGATTACATATCAAATGAATTGCCTTAAGTTTTATAATAAATATTCGCACAAGAATTGCAATTAAAACTGTTTACATATTTGCTTTTGACTTATGTTTTAAATGCTTCAAACAAACGAACAGTAAATACTTTTTTGTTACGCTATTTATCCATAAAAGTTACGCCAAATGTGTTGTATGAATGGGAAAGACGTCAATGAATTAGTGGCCACTTTTTTGATACAAAATTGGCAAATATGTGATCGTTTTAGGCCATGACAAGGAAGATGGGCGCCAACCGGCCACTCGTCAATTGGCCTCAACTAATGAATGGGAAAGACGTCAATGAATTAGTGACCACTTTTTTGATACAAAATTGGCAAATATGTGATCGTTTTAGGCCATGACAAGGAAGATGGGCGCCAACCGGCCACTCGTCAATTGGCCTCAACTCATGTTCCGATTGACATATATTCCGGCGCTTATCTTAACAGTTTTGTTGGCATTCCTCGTGATTGGTGTCACAATTGAAGTGATTATTCCTAAAGTGAAGGCAAATAGTGATCATGTAATTCCGATTCTGGTTATTGTCGTATCGCTTGTATTCAATTGTATGAGTTTTGTCACCAGAATTGGATTCGATGGCAAACTTTCAATCGTCGAAATTACATACTTCTCCACAATTTCTATTTTATTGATTATTCAATTTTATCTAATTTTAATCGAATCCAAACAAACTTAACTTTATGTTTGGTTTATTGTCTCAATTAATACTACGGTAATAATTGAACACAAAAATGTAGTCTAAAAGCATTTATTAATTTATTGTAATCATAAATATTACATCAAAATATAAATTATGTTTTTTATATAAATTACTATTTGATGAGATTTACTATGAATTGGGTATTGATTAATGTGAATGAATTTGTAGGCATTTTATGCCATTTGTTGCGTTTATTAATGTAATGTCAATGCAATCAATGTATTGCTTGTAATTTAATGAGATTTGGTGTGAGTGTTACCGACAACGGGTGTAATCATATGTGACCTACAATTACACAATACTTTAACATACAATCTATAAGTGTTTGGCTTTAATTACATGCAAATTAAAATGAGAGATAAGTATAAATAGTAATGATTTAAATGAAACGATTGGACGAAATGTATAATTAAAATGGTTTAGAAGAAGAGACTCTGAATGAATTTAATGAGATTATAGTTAATGAGTAGAGTGTTAGGTATGGCGGAGCACATGAACCCAAACGTGCGATTCTTCGGGTATCCCAACCAGAAAGCGATTCTTCCGGTGATAAACAGTATATTAATCAATGGAATCACTTTTATTAGAAGACTTTTGTCGATAAAACTGATTGAAATGATTTGCGCGAACGCAGACATCAGGAACTGCTCGATCGAGTTCTGCATTATAGCCGTCGCCACCAATACCTCGCGTTCGTTCTTCGCTTCGATCGGATCCACAACTTTCACTTTTATGCGCTTTGAGATCACGTAAAGCATATTAAAGAGGATCCAAGAAATGCCAATCGTTTGATAGCAGAGAACGAACTCGAGTTTATGCCAATACGACGAGATCTGCACCGCCGAGGAGTTGCCGCCGATATTCAGATTCAGATACTTGTCGTCCAGAATAATGAACGACAAAATGCCGATAAACGCCACACAAAGCAATGATCCGAATCGGGCTCTCCTTCTAAAGTCACTCAACGGATCCAATGGTTTGACCACTTCTTCTGTCGCTTTCTTATCCGCAGAAGTGGTCACCGATTCGTCTTTCTTCGGATCAATCTTTTCGGCTGTTTTGGTCTCTTTTGATGTCATTTTTGACAAATAATTCATAAACTGAACCAAAATTTTAAGAAAATAATTAAAGTTTTGTTTTACTCTTTGAAAGACAAACAATTGGTTTGTTTTCATTTCTCGAGTGACAAGAGATCAGTCAATTGATCCCAACGTACCTCTGGTTCGGGTATTAATCGATAGATTTGCTGTGATTTACAGTAAACGATAATAATTGACAAAAATAGATAAGATTTGGGATCAGATCTTATGGTTAAACCAATTAACAAGAGATGAGACAAAGAGCTTATGATCCAAACACCAGTGGTTTGCAACTGTTTTTGTGGTAATACTCGACGCCTATTGGCTCTCCCTTTACAACTGTATTACAACCCAACTCTCTGTTTGGCGCTCTCCTCCTCTCCCTCTCCCATACCATCACAGCATCACTCCATCACTCCATCCCTCACAACCGTTACACTCACTCCCCCTCTCTCTCAGACATAGGGAGAGAGTTTGAAATACTCAACAACAGTGTAGTGAACACAACTGTTTGTTTGTATCGTACAAAACATACAAATCGCAAAACTTTGTTATAAAACTTTTATATAAATTTATGATTAAATTAATTAAATTAAATGACAATAATTGTTGCAATTATTAGTTATAATTATATAGTTATAAACATTATAAACAAATAAATGTTAGCATAAACTATCATGTGCATTTTTAGTTGAGACTTTTTTACAAGGATTGGGTTGACATTACTGTTAATTAATTGTTTATAACATTTTGATTGTTTAGATGACAATTAAAATAAGATTAAAATCTAAGCTAAAAGTGAAGAGAGAATCATTTGGTTGTTTTGAACAACAATTAGATCAACAATAGTATAAAAGTTATAAATTATAATGAGATGCAAAATAGTAATGAAAATGGAGTTGAGATGTCATTTAATTGAACACAATCTGCAAATTGTTGGGCAATACCTTTACAACTGTATTACAACCCAACTCTCTGTTTGGCGCTCTCCTCCTCTCCCTCTCCCATACCATCACAGCATCACTCCATCACTCCATCCCTCACAACCGTTACACTCACTCCCCCTCTCTCTCTCAGGCATAGGGAGAGAGTATTTCAAATACTCAACAACAGTGTAGTGAACACAACTGTATTGAAGTTCAATAATTGAACACAACTGTTTGTTTGTATCGTACAAAACATACAAATCGCAAAACTTTGTTATAATTTAAAACTTTTGTATAACTTTATGATTAAATAAAATTAATTAAATGACAATAATTGTTGCAATTATTAGTTAAACATTATAAACAAATAAATGTTAGCATAAACTATCATGTGCATTTTTAGTTGAGACTTTTTACAAGGATTGAGTTGACATTAATTAATTGTTTACAACATTTTGATTGTTTAGATGACAATTAAAATAGGAGCTAAAAGTGAAGAGAGAATACATTAACAATGATTTGATTGTTTTGAACAACAATTAGATCAACAATAGTATAAAAGTTATAAATTATAATGAGATGCAAAATAGTAATGAAAATGGAGTTGAGATGTCATTTAATTGAACACAATCTGCAAATTGTTGGGCAATTCCTCCTGAGGTTCGGTTAAATGTGTTTCGCGCGCAAAGAGCGACAAATAGTGGTTCGGTCTTTGTTTGGCCGCTGAGACCACGCTATCAACCAATTTATTGGTCACTCGTTTGCAGCCATCGATCTCTACGGTAGATATTTGC